ACGCAAGATATATTGTTTTCCTTTTCTTCCTTGGTTCACTTCCCCACCCTCCTACTTGTACTTGAATTCTTAGAGAGAATTAGATTCTAGGAAAACTCAGTTTAGGACACTTTTGTTTTTTCAAATGGGAACAATGGCACTTACCCTTTCACTGGGCTGATGAGAGAGCAAATGAAATGTTAGATGTTATGAACTTTGAACAGTACAAAGAGCTTTCTATAAAGTGAAGATTTGTTATTCTTTGGCCAGTGTTTAAGGTTTGCCCAGGGCCGGGCGCGGTGGCTCACGCCTGTAATCCCAGCACTTTGGGAGGCCGAGGCGGGTGGATCACGAGGTCAAGAGATTGAGACCATCCTGGTCAACAAGGTGAAACCCTGTCTCTACTAAAAATATAAAAAATTAGCTGGGTATGGTGGCGCATGCCTGTAATCCCAGCTGCTCAGGAGGCTGAGGCAGGAGAATTGTCTGAACCCAGGAGGCGGAGGTTGCGGTGAGCTGAGATTGCGCCATTGCACTCCAGCCTGGGTAACAAGAGCGAAATTCTGTCTCAAAAAAAAAAAAAAAAAAAAAAAAGATGTGCCCAAACCAATATTTAAGACCCAAGAACCAGCCTGAGCTGTTGCTGAGCACTATGGGGGCTCCCGTCCTAACTCAGGCTGCCATATCCTAATTCTAGGGCTTCTGGCATCTCCTCCTGTACCCATCTTCCTCCAAGCTTATTGCTCTTCTTCATGCCTTCCTGGTTTATTTCCTCTTTAACATTTATTGCTATTTGAATTCATCTGATTTTTTCCCCCAGCATCTAGAACAAAGCTTAGCACATGGTAGGTGCTCCATAAAGAGCTGGTGAATGAACGGATGAATTCATTAATCCATTTTCAGCATCATCCTTTATAAGAAGTTGCAAAAACAGTACAAAGTCCCATGAACCCTTTACCCAGCTTCCCGCAAAGGTGACATCTTGTCTAATGATAGTACAATATGAAAGCCAAGAATCTGATAGAGGGATTTCTTTGAAGAGAAAATTAAGTCATGTCATAGTCCTGTTTATTTGCCCAGTGGCTTCCCATTTCTCTTAGAATAGAGTCTGCTTCCCATGTCCTCCAAGGGCCCTCATAACCTGGCTCTTTCAAACTCTGCAGCCCCAACTCCTGCCCCGCCCCTTGCATGTCCAGCCCTAGTAGCTTTTTTCTTATCAGTCCTTTGAAGGCACCCAGCAGTCTCCCCTCATTAGGTCCTTAGATGCATTCTCCCCTCTGCCTAAAATATTCTATGCGTGGCTGATTCCTTGCTACTCTTCTTGTCCCAACTTACATGTCCCCTCTTCACAGAGGCTTTTGCTGACCACCCTATGCCATTCTTTCCTACCCTGTCCCTTGTTTATTTTCCTTACAGCATTAATCACAGTTCATTCTTACATGTTTGGTTAATTTACTTGTCTCCTATTTGACTCTTTCAATCTTGAGTATAAGCTCAAAAGATGCCAGGTACTATGTTTTGCTCACCTCGGTGCAATTAGAAATTTGACTTATAAAAACTCAGGCTTCAAAACACACACACACACACACACACACGGAGATACCATCTCACACCAGTAAGAATGGCTATTATTAAAAAGTCAAAAATAACAAATGCTGGTGAGAAGGGAATGCTGGCTGGGTGCTATGGCTCACACCTGTAATCCCAGCCCTTTGGAGGGTTCAGGCAGGCAGATTGCTTGAACTCAGCAGTTTGAGACCAGCCCGGGCAACATGACGAAACTCCATCTCTACAGAAAAATACAAAAAATTAGCTAGGCATTGTGATGTGCACCTGTAGTCCCATCTATTGAGGGGACTGAGGTGGGAAGACCACTTTAAGCCCGGGAGGCAGAGGTTGCAGTGAGCCAGGCACTTCTGCCTGGGTGATAGAGCCAGACCTTATCTCAAAAGAAAAGGGAATCCTTATACACTACTGTTGGGAGTGTCAGTTCAGCCACTGTGGAAGGTAGTATGGCCATTCCTCAAATGCTAAAAGCAATTACTGATTGACCCAACAATCCCATTACTGGATATATACCCAAAGGAATAGTAAGTCATTCTATCATAAAGACACATAGGATACATATGTCCATTGCAGCATGATTCACAATAGCAAGGACATGGAATCAGTTTAAATGCCCATCAACAGTAGACTGGATAAAGAAAATGTGGTACATATGTACCATGGAATACTATGCAGCCACAAAAAATAATAAGATCACATTCTTTGCAGCAACATGGATGGAACTGGAGGCCATATCCTAAGCAAATTAACCCAGGAACAAAAAACCAAATACCGTGTGTTCTCTTATAAGTGGGAGCTAAACTGTGAGAACACATGGACACAAAGAGGGGAATAACACACACTGAAGCCTCCTGGAGGGTGGAGGGTGGGAGGGAGAGGATCAGAAAAAACACCTATCATGTAGTTTGGTTAGTACCTGAGTGACAAAATAATGTATACATCAAACCCCCATGGCATGAGTTTACCTATATAAATAATCCCCAACACTCAAATTTCTGTACGTGTGGAGTAGTTTCATACCTCAACATTCATAATCGGTAACTATACCCAGAAGTATACAGTTCATTAACCTCTTCCACAGACAACCAACTCAGTTCCTATGAGGTGAGATTATCTACAGCCCCCTTTTGCAGACTAAGTGAGAATAGTAACGTTCATTGATCTCTGTAGTGGGTGATTTGCATGCCCTATGTTGCTTTCCTTTGGTCAGCGTCTAACTTCAGTCACAGATTGAAGGATTGTTCTGGTTCTTGTTGATAATGGCCCCCTGCCCTCCTCATGCATGTACCTCCTAGGGCTTCCCCTTTATTTTTCCTCAAGGACCCTGTCCCCAGGTATGGGGGAGGGGATGGTGATAATAGGACCCATGCCAGTGCCTCTCCCCTTTCCCCCAGCCCACTGCCTGAAATGTTAGAACTCAGGGCTTGTTTCTCTGAAGTCCTAGGAGCCTGCTTAGTCTCGAGGCAAGTATAACCTGGAAATGTGGAAAGTTACCACTATTCTGGGCAACTCTTAGCCAGTGAGGGCTGGGGATTGGTAGGTCAACACTCCAGCTCCTGCTCCTTGATGGCTATCACTGGAGCCATTACGAACACTGCTCAGAGACCTGGTGAAACTGAGCTCCTACTGCATTACCAGCAAAACATGAACACATCCTTTTATTGGCTTTTCCTCCTTTGCTGTCTGATTCTCCCCACTTTGTCACTCCTGACTCCTGGAATAAGCTCCTTGTATTCAGCTCTTGTGTTAGTCTTGCGTTCAAAAAAACCCAAACCCAGAGGCTGCTTGCTGTCTGCAAGAAGCTGTTCTAATTCTGTCACATGGCTAGATGGTTTCTTTCTCATCCTGACTTTAGTCCTACAAGGCAGATATTGCTGTTATCCCTGTCGTAGAGATGGGGAAACTGAATGAATGAGAAATTAAGTATCTTAGCAAAGGCATTTATTGATCTGCCCACAGCCCCCAGTGTTTGAAGGTGCTCCCTAGCATGTTAACTCCCCTGCATTTCCAGACTGCACTTGCCTATAGGCTGTGGCTTCAGAAAAGTCCCAGGGCTTTGAAGAAGCACTCAGGAAGAAAAAGAAGAGTCAAGGAAATGGCAGTGCAGCAATTCTCACCCAGACAGTCTGATATCAGGGCCCATCCATTTAAAATCTATGCTTTACCGCCTCCTAAAAAACAAAGGTTGCAGGAAGGTGAAGTCATACCCTGAAACACAGCTAGCGAGCACTGAAGCTGAGAATCCAAATTAAGCTTATTGGACACATAGACTCAAACTCACCTGCTAGTACTTGTCTTTTAAAAAAGACCAAATCTATTGCTCTTTTCTTGAAACCAGAAGGAATGAGTTAGTTGAGCAAAATCCCCACTGGGTTAGGGCAGGTCTTTATTGTGAATCTGCAGTGGACTGTGGAAGCATGTCTCTATCTCAACCAGGGCAGGTAGTGTTTTCCATTTATCAGTGTCCAGAGTGCTTTGGAACTGCTAAGGCTGGTAAAAATCACTGCTGGTTGGGAGGATTTCTCCATTTTACAGTGTTCATGACAGCTTTCAAAGCAGAGGCCACTTTCTTCTCATGCACAGTGCTGAAGAAAGCAGTCAAATCCAGCCATCATCCCAGGAAATAAGGGGGAAATGGGAGTGGCGATGGGAGCAGAGAGAACTCATACCACATCCCCTCCTCCCACTCCCAGCCCACCACCTCATAGGTGTTAGGAGTTAAAGGCCTCTTTCCTTATCCTCAGGATGTTTTTCTCCCTTGTCTTCCCCTAATCCAATCTCTACCCTGTAGCCACTGAGATCCTTTCAACTTGCTAATCTGATCACATCCCTTCCCTGCTCATGCATCCTTCAATGCTTTCCCTTAGCTTTTTTGGATAAAGACAATTCGTGATTAGGCATTCAGACAGGTTTCACCCATGTCTCCATCAGCAGTCACACTTCGTGAAAAGCCTTTTCTTCATTAAACTCTGGCAACCCTACATATCCATCCTGTCTCTTACCATCAGAGAGCTTTGCCAGGCTGTTCTCTGCCTGGGACATGCATCTCTCCCTTCTTGTCCTTGCTAAACCGTGTGTAGTCTTCAGGTCAGAAGCTTCTTGACTTTTCCTTGACTAGCTCAAACCTCTCTGACAGATGTTCCCATGGAATCTTGTGCCTCTCTTTGTTGCACTCAGCATAATTGGGGTGTGATTATTTTAGTGTCTGTCTCTCCTAATAGAGTGTATACTTCTTAACATATGGCCTGTTTTTGCTTTTTACTACTGCATCCCCAGTGGCATGCACAGTGATGGGTAGGAAGTCCTAGAATGGTGGAATGAATGAACAAACCTCACTGGGCTCATGGAACAAGTACAGGGTGACAGATTGGAGACATTGTGCATTTAACTCCTGTTTGGTCATTGTTAAAGCCAACCAGATTCTACTGTTATAATTGTCCATTGTCCAATCAGCATTGTATGCAATAACTTTATTAAGGTCAAATAGATATCACAATACAGATTTATCCAACGGGATTCAGAAACTGGTTACAGATATCATCTAAGACACAAGGCTGTTTTGTGCTAAAATTCTTGCAACATCACCACTCACAAAACGAGTTTATATATCGATAACAACTTTTATCTGGAAATACAGATGCTAAGCTTGCCCTTTCTATCGGGCCCTGGTATTTCAACTGAGTTAAAATGAAGAAGTAAAGTTTGGCATTTTCTTGGTAATAAATACATTCTGGAGAATATTTCATGAGACCTCTCTCTGGAAACAGAGTGGCACATGGAAGCTATTTCTAATTTATGGGTTATACTCAAATCAGAATTAGTAAGTTTAGCTGTGACTTGAGAAGTTTTAATAATTACATTGAGGAACATATTAGCTTTACAAATAAACAGGATTTAAAGTGTACCTGGTAGTGTAGGTTCTACAGAATATTCCTTACAAATTAATACTTCAGCAAGGCAGTATCTTGACTACGGTTCTATATCTGCATCTCCATTATTCTAAGAAAACAACACTCCATAAACACAAACAGTTATTAGGCCATGTTATTTATGGTCCACAAGATAAGAGCCACGAAACACCATAAAAGGTTACAAGAATGTAAATATTTAGCTAAGTAAATAGAATAAATATTGGGCAGTTATCACATGTAATACTAAATTCTACTAATAGAGGAAAACGAAAACCCCAGATTTCAATTACAATGCATTCAGAACTTAGGTAAAGCCAGAGGAGACAAATTTGCAAAGTTTACAAAGTATACAAAGAAGTGAATATGTTCCTATAAATATTCATTTGACAAATTCATGGTGCAAACCAGAAAATTTTCGTAAACACAGTTCAAATGTTCATTGTGTGAGAAAATGCTTATTCATGCACTTACATACATAAATCATATGAGCATTGATTCATCACATAAAAAAAAGAGTAATTTTCTGAAACAAATAACTTAAAGACTCATAGTCCTATAGGACCTAAAACTAAAAAATAATAAGACATGCATCTTGTGATACATCAAATTTATAACATCTTTCCCATCAAAATGCATAAGAAAATTCAATGCTATCTGATTTACTTTATGCATATTACTTACTAGAGACTTTAAGCTACAAAATACTTCTACTACTTCAACACACATACAAAATGAACGTGAAAGTATCTGTGGATATAACAAGGTGCTCTCCAATTAGCCATCTGTGATGAATAATATATCTCTTCATGTCATCTCATCTCTAAGTATCATTTATCACAACCCAGGACTTTCTTCCCTAATGAGGACTAGAGATCTCTGATTTACATTCAATACTCTCTGCATTAATAATTGATTGAAACTCTTAAAAAATTCTTCTGCCACTGAAATGGAATGTGGTGAGACTATCTCTAGAAGAATGTAAATGCTACTGTGTTAAATTTGATTGGTAAAGGAAGTGGGGCCAGTAGGCTGTTGGCCAAACTCATCTGAGGATGGCCCCAAACTTGCCTGCTGACTGTACCCACTGCTTGACCCATAGCTGTCTTGGTTGTAACCACCTTGATTATAGCTGCTGGAGTGTTTCTCCATCGGATCTGAAAGATATCTCTGTCCTGAAGAATGCCAGCCAGTCTCCTTAAAAACAAACCATATGTTTCCAGCCCAGAGAATAAAGTTCAAGAATCCAAAGACCTGAAAGAGAATCAAAGCCAATGAATTGATAGACTGACAGAAACCCAAGAAAAATTTCAATTTTGGAAAAATTCTTTGCAATTCAAAAAAGATCACTTTTCACTTTAATGTTGAGTCCTCTTCCAAGTTTTCCATGTGGAACTGGTATTTCATTGAGAATATTTGACCTTTATAAGATGCAGGCATGAATGTCAGGCACTACATAAAGGACTTGATGTGTATCAATTCACTTGGTCTAAGAATCAGTCTAAGAAGAAGTTGCTATTGTCATACCCATACTACAGATGTGGAAATCTTGTCTAAGGTCACGTGGCTTGCTGAGTAGTAGATCTGGGATTCAAACCCTGTTTTGACTCCCTAACTGGAACCCTTACTTAAACCATCATTCATTCTCCAAATAAAGTATCCTTCATGGTGTGTAAGATTATTTCCAGGTGGCATAGGGATGAGAATTTTCACTTTAATAATGGGGTATTCATTTATAAGGCTATCTTCTCTTTATGGTTAGAGATTCTGCTTTTGTTTTCCCATTTATTGCAATCACATAAAGAAAGTGAGTCAATTAAAAATATAGCATAAGCAATGGTAGAGCTGATATGCAAATAAGCATATTCATGATAGCATATTAAGAGGTTGGCTGTTTGAATAATTGTACTTTCTGTGATTCTCACATGCATAAGTGAATGCTGAAACCGGACTATGAGTAAGATGCAGGTTTCAAAGAAGTACAAAATGTTTTCTTAAGAAGTGGATGTGAAACTTTCCTATGGAAATTCCTCTTACTCTCCAGAGGGTGTCAGTGAGTCAGAGGACTGGGTGTTGCTTCCCCAGGGCCTAAGGTTTGATGGATGTAGAACTGTTTGCTGTTGCATGAGGCCCAAACAGAAGTCCTCATTCCATAGCTTGTTCTGCAGCCTCTTCCAAGGCTGGTTGATCGATTGACTTGGGAATTAACCACAGGCAGTCTGCTTTAACAGCCCCCTAATGGAGACAGGTAACAGTAGTACAATGCAAAGCTGTGATAACATGAAAGTATATTTAGTCACCACCCTAGCAAGACACTGACCAATCAAAATGGACTTGGGCAGTAACTCAGCCCTAGAATAGGGTGCTGGAAGTCCCTTGCTGGGTCAAAATTTATCCTGTGGTTTCTGAACAGTGAGATGATCCAGAGTGCCTTGTGGGTAGTGGTGGCAGAGGGACCACTGGTGTAGTCAAGAAGCCGGACCTTGGAGGCTTGGAGCTAAGACTATTTATCAAAGTATTTCAGTATTTTAGCAGCACGCAAATGGTATATTAGTCTTGGAGTAATCTCTTTAGGCTTTGAAACGGAAGTGGCCTGGGCACTATACTTTCTTGCCCTGCTATCTTGGGACAAGGCATTTAGTCTGTAGACTTCCTTTCTGTTTTTCTTGTATGGAACGGACACAAGAATTCCCTTCTTGGAAGACAGCTGGGAAGATTAAAGAGGATGTGTGTAAAGTAGCTAGACAGTGCTGGACACATGAGCAAATACCAAATGGTAGCCTATGCTCTGAATCACTTTCTAAAATATTTCCATGAATTGTATTTTGTTAACTTTTTTTTTTTTTTGCTGCAGCATACATTGAACTGAGGCATAAACAGTGAAATCATGTTCTTGAGAGACTACAATAACCAAAATCAAGTATCTAGGCCCCCAATTGACCTAATTAGAGACTGGTTTATCCAGTCCTCCCTCTTTCTTCCTTCTCTCTTCTTGCATCCTCTTTTCTTCCTTTTAACACTAATTGAGAACCTATTTCGTGCCATGCTCTAGGCTACCTGCTGAGGGAGATATAAATCATAAATAAGGTGTAATAGTTTCTTGAACAAAATAAATAAGTTAACTACTGACAAAACTCTAATTTCATATAGGACCATTTTACCATGTGTAACCAGAATATTTTCCATTAAAAGGGGGATCTTCATTAAATTGCACTTTTATAAGTGTATGCCAATACATGAGTATAAAAAATTATCAAGGATCCTGGGCAACATGGCAAGACTTTGTCTGTTAAAAAAAAATTAGCTGGGCATGGCAGCTCATGCCTATAGTCCCAGATACTCAGAAGGGGTACTTGGAAGGCATATCTTGAACCCGAGAGTTCCAGGTTATAGTGAGCTATGATTGCATCACTGCAACTCCCGTCTGGGTGGCAGAGCAAAACGCTGTCTCAAAACAAAAACAAAACAAAACAAAAAACAGAAAAAGGAAAGGAAAGGAAAGGAAAAAAACTTATCAAGGAATCTTCTCAGACAAGGAGGATGGCTCTGCCCAGGGATGTAATTTTAGCTATTTCCTATCTATTGATCTCTCTCTTTTCTCTATTACTATTGGTTTTTTTAAAAAGGGATGCTGAAGAAAAACTTAGACATCAAGGAAATGCTACTTAACAGTAAGAACGTAAACAAGGCATTTCAGTGTTTGAGGAGTACTGGTTTCTTACCCCAGCATCACAGATCTCTTGGCTGGCACATTTGAGGGGCACTTGGGCCCTTCAATTCCTTTTTGCCATTTGTTGCAACGGAAATTGGGGTGAGGATTCTGATTCAAGCTCAGACTTGGGACAACAGAAAGAGAAATTGAAAGAGACTGTACATAACATGCAATAAAATGGGGAGATAGGATCTAGATTGTCTAAAAAGATGTATGAAGATTGTCTGAAGTAAAGCTGGAGAAGGAAAAGTAGAAATGATGCCTAAAATACTTATGCTTAGTGAAACTTTGAAAGAAATTGAGAAACTGAAAAGCATTATTTCTTCCTCCTCAGGCTCTAACACTGTGTGACATTTAGGAATGATCATATTTTAGTAGCCATTTTCAGTTGGCACGTATAGAGCATTTGCCATAAGCTGGGCATCATGCTAAGTTTTTTTTTTTTTTTTTTTTGAGACGGAGTTTTGCTCTTGTTACCCAGGCTGGAGTGCAATGGCGCGATCTCGGCTCACTGCAACCTCTACCTCCTGGGTTCAGGCAATTCTCCTCTCTCAGCCTCCTGAGTAGCTGGGATTACAGGCGTGCACCACCATGCCCAGCTAATTTTTTTTTTTTTTTTTTTTGGTAATTTTAGTAGAGACAGGGTTTCACCATGTTGACCAGGATGATCTGGATATCTTGACCTTGTGATCCACCCGCCTAGGCCTCCCAAAGTGCTGGGATTACAGGCGTGAGCCACCGCGCCTGGCCCGCTAAGTTTTTTTTTTTTTTTAATAGATTATCTCACTGAATTTTTCAACAGTCTTGAGATCTGTTAAACAATGGTCCCCATTTTACAGATGATAAAACTAAGGATTAGAGAGTTTACCTCAGCTCCCAGTATTTGTACTATCTGGATATCTTACCTACATTTTAGTGTTACTGTAAAAGTGTAGATGCCAAAGTGCTTTGAAGAAAGTAAATTTGTTACCAAGGTAGAGAATATGACTATTACTTACAGATTCATTTACTTGTAAAGGATATTTATTGTGGTATGTGTCTGGCTCCTACTCCAAAAACTATGTTTGCCCAGTAAAGTGTGTTCTCTGAGCCATGTTTCTACTACATCATTCCCCAAACCCTCTGTTCATAACTGATGAGACTGAGGTGGGCATCCGGCCCAAGGTGGGCTAATGAGATTCTCTCTATCAGAAATTTGGAATTGGACCCGAGTGATTTTCGTTCAGTCCAAGCTGTTTCTTTAAAAAATACATATAAAGTTAGAAACTGTAGAGTGACTATCTTCTGCTGTGTGGATGGAAAAAAAAAAAGTTTCATCTGAAAAGAGAGAATAGTGTAATAAACATGCAGAAAGGGACAGGGATGCAGAAAGAAAGACAGATGAGAGATGGAGGATGAGGGTTGTCTAGCTTCCTGAAAGTCTTCCAGTTCCTGGCTGTTGGGTTGTGCCCTAGGAAGACACGTTTTTAATGGATTTCCAATTAATTTCAGTTTTTGCATAAGCTAGCTTAATATGATTTGAAGCCAAGCAATTTGTAATAAAAATATTGTGTTTTTGGTTGATTAATGTCGTTTTCCCCACTGTTGGTAATAGAAGTCTGATTTTCTTTGCAGAGCCAAGTTTTAGTCAAATGGCTTGGGCTCTCTCCTGGAACTCTGCATTTTGAGCAGAGCAATGCAAGGTTAGATAAAATTTTCCACTACTGGCAACTCTGAGAAACAATTCTTTGGTACTGAACATCTAGAACTCCGATTCTGCTCCAGAGAACTGCTCTTTCTAGGCTCTCTTTCCTCAGGTCTCATCAAATTGTATGAGCTACTTAATATCCTTCCAAATACTTTTTTCCTGATGTAGTTAGAGTCAGCTTTGATTATTCTAATGCATACAAATATTGGTACCAGAAATGAACTGCAAATAACAGATTTTAGGGGTCTGAGGATTGGTTTGCCTTAGCCAGTTTGAACTGAGTTTTCTATTGCTAGGAACTAGAAGACTGTTAGCTGATAGGGACTATAAACACCACTGGACCTGTCCTTTCACACACATCATGGTATTCGGTTTCAATTCGTTCTTTATTTTGGTTTTAGGAAACACATCACATTGTTTTTCTTTCATAATTTCTATGTTTTAGTCTAAAAATCATGAGATATATCAGAAGTAGAATTAGAAGAACCATGCAGAATGTCATAATTTATTGGAAGATTAAGTATTAAACTAACAAAGCAATTTTATCTTTGTCCTCTTGGATTTTGAGATCAGGGTTGTAATAGCTTTCATTAAATACTGCCTATAAACAACCTACAGGAGTATAAGTAAATATGGTAATGTATACCTCAAAGTATTTATTTACAAGTGTAGTCAGCAATGAATAAAAATGATTGTGAGACCCTAAGGCAGAATTTCTTTTCATGGTAACTATCTTGCCAAAGCAGAAATCACAGTCCATTCAGAGTAGCAACCCTTTTTCTCTTCTTAAGTGCCTTCTCAGATTGAATTTCAGAAAGCTGTAGAAACACAGGTTAATCTTGAAGCAAAGATAATTATTTCTGGGGTGTGCTAAAAAATGTTCTTTCAGCAAACACTGCTGAGCCTTCTGTTCTTCAATAACTGCTGCTTTTCCCTGCCATTATAGCTTACGTATTTCTCAGATACAGCTTCTTTCTTTGAAATAATACAAGTTCTTACACTTATAAATTAAAAATCCAATTTAGTGTCCCTGCTGTCAGATTTTCTCTCTTCTTATAAAAGCCATGCTCTTGATGATAATATTTGACTTTGTTCAACTAAGACAGCACAGCTTTTCCAAAGTTATAAAGTAAACCAGAAGCATTGAGAAAATTTAAATATTACCATAGCTATTGTAAGTAGCTTTTTTATATCATATATTTCTTTTTTTCATTCTACTAGGTCTGTGTATTTTTCTCTAATTGGTTGGGTGTATTCCAACTACATGTGGCTTGAACAATATTATCTTGCCAGGAACTTGTATGCTCTCAAATATTTTTTTTTTAACTTCTGTCAGGCTTCAACCTTAAAGTTGAGATTTTTTTTTTTTTTTTTTGAGACTGAGTCTCCTGTTGCTTAGGCTGAGGTGCAGTGGCATGATCTCGACTCACTGCAACCTCCGCCTCCCGGGTTCAAGGGATTCTCATGCCTCAGTCTCCCTAGTAGCTGGAAGTGCAGGTGTGAGTCACCAGGCCTGACTAATTATTTACATTTTTAGTAGAGATGGGGTTTCACCATGTTGGCCAGGCTGGTCTTGAACTCCTGACTTCAGGTGATTCTCCTGCTTTGGCCTTCTAAAGTGCTGGGATTATAGGTGTGAGCCACTGTGCCCAGCCAAAATTTGGATTTCATATTTGCTTCTGGCTTAGAGTTTCAGCTGGACTGTCACCAAAGCAACAGCTGCTAATACCTACTAGGTTCTTATTAAAAACTCTTTAATTGCTCTTATTAGGAATGATGGATTCTGACAGTAAAACAACCCGAGGGCCAAGTGATCATCCTGCACCTGAGGTGAACTATCTCACCTTTTGATTCACCTAGTTGTGTAGGCAACAATTTTCAAGATGACTTCCGAGATGTTTTTCTTATTATTTTGACTGGCAAACAAAGATATGAACAGTAAAGCATAGATGAAAAATACTTACCACAGAAGTGTTTAAGCTTGACATAACAGGGCTGTGGACAGCCATGCATTTGTTGGATGGCTGTTTGCAAGCTGACATTAATAGCAATACTTCCTTGGGATCTGTTGCAACTTTGACGTCAGACAGTCCTTTTGCCCAAGCTGATGAACCCACCAACCACAGGAACGAGAAGACTACAGTGACAATGAAGTCCTACAGAAACAAATCAGAAGAGAAAGTGGTGAAAGAAAATGTGAGTTCTAGAAACAAGTTGATTTGTTTATGTAACTATTTGATTTGCCTTTTGGAAAATTTTAAGATCCCATAGCACTGAAACCAGAGAAAAGATTTTGAAAAACAAATAAAAGAAAGCTTTGTGATATTAGTCTTTCCACAAAATAAATAATAATATTTATTAAATGCTTAATCCCAGGAATAAAGTCCCTAAGGACTTTATTCTTTTTTCTATATGTTACCTTATATTTATGAGTTTCAGCTTCCTCCTCTTTAAAGTCCCTAAGGACTTTATAACCTGCACCTAATTGTTCCTACAACATCCCTGTAAGGAATGGTACATCATCCTATTTGCAGACGTTAAACTAACGTAGAGAACGGTTGGATAGCTTGTCTGAGACTTCACAGATAATTCATGATGGCATCAGGATTCAAATCCAGGCAACCCTACTACTGAGTCCAACCTCTTAATTACCAAGCTGTCATGATTCCAGACATTTGGAGATCTGTCTGCTAACTGTTGAAGACTCTTGGTTGACAATGTTCACTCATTCATTCATTCATTTATTCACTTAACAACCAATGTGTTATCTATTGTATACCTAGAACTGTGTTAAGTGGAAGACAATAAGAGCTATAATGTTTTTGAATGTCTGCTATGGGTGAGAGGTTTGGTATAAAATTATTCTTACAATAATCATGTTAGACAGTATTCTTATGCCCATTTTAAAGAGGAGGAAGCTGAAACTCATAAATATAAGGTAACATACAGAAAGTGGTAGAGCCAGAATTCAAATCTTTTTGACTCTGAAAATCATCTGCTGTTTATAGGGGAAAGAAGCTTTCATTCATATCAAACAAAATTTTTAGGATGTAAGGGGATGAGCATTTTAGAGACCATCTCCAAACTTCTGATTATGGGGGCTATGTCTCATATCCTCCCTCATGACTCAGATGAGGTGGCAGGTAGGAGTGACTGTCCATGTTCTAACAGTAGAAAAAAATTTCAGATTGACAATATATATATTTTTGACTACTGTAAACATGCTTCATGCTGCTTACCTAAAATAATAAAAACACTGACCAGAAAAGAAAAAAAGTAAATCTGATATGCCAGCAGAAACAGGCTGCTCTTTTGCTCTTAATAATAACCTCCTCAAGTAGAAAATTTGGCTGTATTTTTTTCCTACCCAAGGGCATAGTGCATCTGACTTGCTCTGTATCTTGCTCTCATCATGTGGCTGAATTACTTTTCATCATGATCCCATGATCTACACTGAGGGAACTCTTAAACTCTAAAGATGCTGTTGTGCTGGACAGTTGTTAGGGGTGATCTTTGTGGAGAATGTTCTGGAGGGTCTCACTTCAGAGTGGCTGAATCTTCGGCAACTCATTTGATCCAGTGGCTGTTGTGAATTACGCAACTCACCAGTTCACCTTTTTTCATGATACCTCTAGAAAATTAAGGGCCAATGTGTGACCCATTCATAGGGTTTTGATGGCATGGGTATTTTAACGTGATTCCTTATTTTGTTTTTTATTCCCTTTCTTCTTTTTACTTTTCATTTTCATTCAATTACATCTTGGATTTTAAATGTCCTTATGAGCCTTTCTGAGATGAGGTAGCGGTATAAACAATCAAACAAATACAATATCTACAGCTGTGTCAACAGTAATTAATAACATTTGGAATAAAAAAACTCAGGTGTTTGGGTCTGAATTTGAAATTAGAGGAATAGTTACAAATATATAAGCCAGATTGACTGTGTCAAATCATGGCTTTCTGTTCGTGTTCAGTCTGGTACCTTAATTCATTCATGCTTTTATTCACATAGTAATTTTTGAGTAATGTGCCGAGTATTGAGGAAAGTCTTATGGAGGATAAAAAAATGCAAAATGTGGACTCTATTCTCTTGACATTACATATTTGTTAGAGCCCACAGTTACCCTATAACTTTACCTATAATACAATTGTGGTCATTATTTATATTCAGCATAATTAGAAATAGACTTGTTAAAAGGCCAGTAGATTGGGGAAACAGAAGAGAGTCATGTGAAGACCTTTCAACTAGCAATTGAAGAAAACTATGTTAGATTTATTTGTTCAAATAATAATATTCATACCTAACATTTATTGAATGCTTATTATGTGTCAAGTATTATTCCAAGTTTACATGTTTTGACTCACTTAATCCTGACAACTGCACCATGAAATAGATACTAATCCTGACTCCATTTCACAATTGAGGAAATGGAGATACAAAAGGATTAAATAAATTGCTTGAAGTCATGAATTAGTAAGTGGAGGAGCAAGGATTCTAAGCCTGGCCATCTGCCTTACAGAATACTGACCTTCCTATTTAAAATGAAGAAACTAAAAAGGTTTTTTTTTTAAGTTGGTTTTGACTATAATCCCAACATTTTGGGAGGCCAAGGCAGGATGATTGCTTAAGCCCAGGAGTTCAAGACCAGCCTGGGCAACACAGTGAGACTCCATCACTACAAAACATTTGAAAACTAGCTGGATATGGTGCTGCATACCTATAGTCCTAGCAACCTGTGAGGCTGAGGTGGGAGGATCACCTGATCCCAGGAGTTTGAGGTTGCAGTGAGCTATGATTGCATCACTGCACTCCAGCCACTTCAGTGTGGATAACAGGATGAGATCTCATTTCCAAAAAAAAGAAAACGGATTTGAGGTCCTGCTTAATTTAAATATAAAAAATAATAAGAAGTCATTTTTCCATAAACAAGCTTCTGATTGAAGTAAAGGATCTGTATCTTTGGAACAAAGATGACATTTTAAGAAGCTGGTTCAACCTTTTATCCCCTAGTACCATTTTGTAAGAAGGCATCAGTAATATAAGTTTCTCTTACCTGAGTTAAAAGCTCAGACTTTGTCATCAGACAGACCTGGGTTTTAGTCTGTACTTGGACACATACTACCTGTTACTTGTATGTCCGTAATTTGCTAGACTACTTGAGGCCTCAGTTTACCTCTCTGTAAGTTGGAATAATAACGGTAACCCTCTTGTAGGATGATAGGATAAAGTAAGTTAATATAAATCAAATGTTTAGCACAATGCCTGGTAAATAGTGAGTGACAAATAAATGCAAACTTTTATATCACCAATAAAAGCAACAATGACAGCAACAAGAGTAATATAAATCATATAAGTCTACAGAGCAGAAACCTACATGCTCCATAGCAGGAACCTGTGCTCACTCCAGCTGCACAGGCCCTCTGCTGCTCAAACTCACCAAGAACATGTGTAGCTTAAAGCTGCACCCTTGGCACCCCATCCCTTGAGATCCACATGGCTCCTTCTTTCTTTATTCAAATCAATACTCAAATTTCATTTTATCATGTTGTTTTCTTGCCCACCACATATAAATAGCATCCTATGTTAAATTCCCTATGTTCCTTTTCCAGTTTTATTTTTCTCAGTTTCACATTCACCAACTGGTACATTATATATTTACTTGCTTGTATCTTGTGGGCAGATCTTTGCCTATGATGCTCATTACTGTCTGCCCAGCACAAAGAATGGTGTCTGACACATAGTAGTTGCTTAATAAATATTTCTGAAATGAATGGCTGTAGGAGGAAATGTTTTTGATAGACCAAAGTAGAAACAGCAGTGTAGAGACCTGTGCATACAGGCCAGGGCCTTTGCACTTGCTGTTTCCTCTGTCCAGAACTCCTTTCCTATCCCTTAGAGCCATGTTGTCGAAGGGCACATTCCTGCCTTAGGGACTTCACACTTGCTATTTGCTTGTTGCAGAATTCCTTTCCTATCCCTTATAGCCATATGACCTGTTTTATCACCATAACTGGTCCTTATTAATGTCTCCCTCCCCAGTTAGACTTCCCTGAGTTCTGCATTTCAAATGTACACCTTTCTCTCTATCCCCTTATTCTTCTTTGCTCAGCACTTTTCACAATTTGAAAATGTTTGTTTGCCTACTTCTTTCAATAAGATGTTAGTTTCATGGTTGCAAGGATTTTGACTACCTAGCTCATTGCTGGTTCTTGGCAGAAGAGGTGCCATCAACATTTGTTGAGTGAGAAATGAATGAAGGAATATATAAAATGATCCCAATTTCATTAAAAATATATATTGATGTATTTAACATTACATAAGAACATATCAAGTAGCAATGGTAGAATTAGAGATAACTTTTTTGTTTTTTTTAAAATATATATATTTTATTGCATTTTAGGTTTTGGGGTACATGTAAAGAACATGCAAGATTGCTGCATAGGTACATACATAGCAATGTGGTTTGCTGCCTTCCTCCCATCACCTATATCTGGCATTTCTCTCCATGTTATCCCTCCCCAACTCCCCACCCCATGCTGTCCCTCCTCTAGTTCCCCCCACACAGACCCCAGTGTATGATGCTTCCCTTCCTGTGTTCGTGTGTTCTCATTGTTCAACACCCACCTATGAGTGAGAACATGTGGTGTTTGATTTTCTGTTCCTGTGTCAGTTTGCTGAAAATGATGGTTTCCAGGTTCATCCATGTCCCTACAAAGGACATGAACTCATAGTTTTTGAACTCATTGTTATAAGCCACGATCTCATGGCTGCATAGTATTCCATGGTGTATATGTGCCACATTTTCCCAGTCCAGTCTATCATCAATGGGCATTTGGATTGATTCCAGGTCTTTGCTATTGTAAACAGTGCTGCAATGAACATTTGTGTGCATGTGTCCTTATAATAGAACAATTTATAGTCCTTTGGATATATACCCAGTAATGGGATTGCTGGGTCAAATGGAATTTCTATTTCTGGGTCCTTAAGGAATCGCCACACTGTCTTCCACAATGGTTACTTTTCTTTTATATAAACTTGTGTATTTGCAAACTTATTTTATACTTAGGCCAAATAAAAACAATGTGACATGATGATTAATGCACTAGCCAATGGTTCTCCCAAACAAAACTTTACATGGCAAAATCTGCCCTTACA